GAGGCGGACCAGTAGACCAGCGTGCAGTACGAGTCGGTGCTGGTCTCGGGCCTCGCGGCGAGCGAGCGGAGGAGGATGCGCAGCTGGTAGAGCGTGTTGAAGTACGAGGTGAGGTAGTTTTGCGGCTTTGTGTCCTCGTCGCCCTTGGTGCCCTTGCTGATGCCCCCAAAGAGGAAGCCGAGCACGAAGAACGGGAAGACGGTGTACCTGCGGACGCGTCGTCTCAGCGTGTCGGCGGGTGTGTGGCGTGAGGGCGGCGGCGGCGCGGGTGCAGAGAGGCTGAGGTCTCGACGGCCGGCGGATGAGCGGCCGGCGGGTGGTGGAGAGGTGGTGGGGACGAGCGGCGAGGGAGGGCGTGTCTCGGACGTGTCGCCAGTGCACCCGAGCATCATGGCCATCTTGAGCGAGAAGGGCTGCGTGCCCTCGACGTAGTCGCTCCAAAAGAAGGGGTGCGCGAGCGACGTCTTGCCCGGCACCTGCGTCGCGGGGAGGGCGCGCAAGGTCTGGGCTTTGCGCGAGGTCTGAGCGGTGTCCGCGAGTTGGCCGAGGCCGAGATGGCCGAGGCCGAGATGGCCGAGGTCGCGCCTTGAGGATGTACAGGTCCATGACGAGCCCCTCGAGGAGGACCCACAGAAACAGGACCGTCACCGTCATCCAGACCGTCGCCAGCGTCTGCGTGTTCATAAAGAGCCAGCGCCAGCAGAGCTGCGTGCACGGCCACGAGCACCGGCAGCCGAGCCACGGGACCAGCTCGTACCGCGACTCCCCAAGACCAGGAATCCAAATCGACGCCGGCGCGTTGAGCTGCTCGCGCGCGGCCTGCAGCAGCACAATCACCGCGGTGCCCTTGAGGTGGCCGCCGGTCAGGGGCTTCGCCAGCTGGAGGATGGAGCCGCCCACGCCGGCGACCGTGCTCCTCTCCGCGCTCGCCCCCTCGCCGACGCGGATCGTGTCGCCGACCGCAAACCCGTCCCGGCAGGCCACTTGCAGGACCGCGTCGCCCGGGTTTGCAGCCGCGGCCAGCGTGGTCGACGCGGCGTCCTCCCAGAGCGCGTAGAAAGGGAGGGCCCGACTCGGCTCGCTGAGTCCGAAGCCGGTGATATAGCTCAGGTTGAAGTCGACCACCTGAGGGGAGGGGAGCCGAGAGGTGAGCCGAGGTGAGCCGAGGTGAGCCGAGAGGTGAGCCGAGGTGAGCCGAGGTGAGCCGAGGTGAGCCGAGGTGAGCCGAGGTGAGCCTAGATGGGTTGACGTCGACGAGGAGAGAGGGGGAGCTTCTCCACTGGTGTGAGTCCAGGGCCGAGAGCGTAGGCCACCTCTCTCATCTCCTCCTCGAGGGACATTCACTGGCAAGGCCAGCCGTGCGTGCGTGCGTGGGTGCGTGCGTGCGTGCGTGCGTGCGTGCGTGCGTGCGTGCGTGTGTGGGTGCGGCAACAACCTTGCGCGAGAGGGAGAGGTAGAGCCCGTACGCAGGGAAGGAGTAGATGTTCCAGGCGACGTAGTAGTTGGCCTCGTTCTCTGCGACGTACTGCTGGGCCCGCGGGCTCAGCAGAAAGTTGGGCAGGATCTCCGACGCAGTCGGAGGCGAGTAGCCCGCCTAGAGACCTCGAGAGGCCTTGCCTCGGGCTCTCGTCTCGGGCCGCTCTCGGCTCCTCCCGGGACCTCTCCGACGCGGCCGGCGGGGGAGGCGACTCGCACCTGCGGGTCCGTCAGCCAGTCTGGGCAGCTTCCGCCGCCCTCCAGGCAGCTTCCGCCGCCCGCATTCCCAGCAGCCTCGGCCCAGCACGGGAACGGATTCACGCCGCCGCCGTCGCGGCCCGCGTGACCATTGGCCGCAGCGCCGTCGCCGCGCACCGCCCCCGCCGCGGCCCTCGCCGTGCGGCTGTCCCACCGCGCGGCCTCCAAGGCCGCGGCGTAGGACGGGTGCTCCGGCGCCAGCAGCGGCTCGTGCTCGGGAGGCGCCGCCGGCTCTGGCTGCGCGAGCCGGCGCAGCTGCAGCGCGAAGCTGCTCATGGTGCGGTGGAGCGCCATGTACTCCCGGCGCACCGCCTCCGCCTCGGCGCGCGCCGCGCGGTTGCCCGACCGCACCGCCTCCATGGCTGCGGCGTAGCCGCGGTCGGTGGACACGTCGTAGCAGAGCGCCGCCTCGGCAGGCTCAGAGTGGTAGCCGGCGGCATCCGACGAGGACGAGGCTGCGGAGGACGTGGTGGCACCAGAGTTGAAGAGGGGCGACCGGTACTCGCCCAGCCATCGGCGGTCGCGGCCGACCCGCGGCCGCGGCTCGCCGGCCATGGCGGGATCGCGGCCGCCGCCAGAGCCCGCGAGTTTGTTGACTCCTGGTGCTTGTCAGAGATGGAGGAGGACGTGGCAGCGCCAGCGGACGGTCGGGTGGCGGGTGGGGATAAAGGCGGGTCGAGCGCCGATCGCCCCGTGGCGTGGCACGAGCGGGCCTAACCCTACGCGGTCCACCTTGCCACCGAAGCAGCCGGAGAAAAATAATACGCGGTGCGCAGCGAAGCTGGGAATAGGACCGCCGCAAGCGGCGTGGCGTGGAGCGGTTGAGCGTCCCTCCGGGGGCCCCTCTGCGCCGGGGAGGCATTGTTGGAGGCTAGGACGCAAGCGTCCGTCGCCGTTTTCAAACTCGGGGCCGCCCACTCCGTGCTATCACCAGGCTATCACGCGCCTTGCGACACACACCTCTCGGTCGGCGCGCGCTGCTCTCGCTGACCGTGCGCGTCGGCGGTCGGGCCATGCGCCCATGCTGCACAATTTTGATCACACACGTAGCTGCATACTTTTAGCTCAATTTTGCTGATCAATAAAACGATTGTGGCCCGGCGATTCGAAACCCCTGCACTTTGGCCAAGAGCCGGGGCCCCGAGCCGTTTCCCCGCGACTGCTCCGCGCGGCGCGCGACTAGTCGCGCACGCGGCACGGTCGGGTGTGGGCCCCGGGGACAGGGGGACTCCGGGGCCCCCGCGCCTCCCCCAGAGGCCAGAGCTAGCCCCAGAGCGCGCGCGCGGGCGCGGGTGTGCTGTGGGGGCGGTTGTTTTTGGCTAGGATTCGGGGGCGTGCCGTCCTCGTCGCGTTCCTCTCTCTATATACCTATATACAGCGCGTGAAATATATCTACAGCAACTCTACAGCAAGGGCGAAACGAGGCACGGTCGCTCTCCGACATGAGGCGGGTGGCTCAAGGTACTCCAGCATGCTCAACGTACTCGAATGAGTGAGTCACAGCTAGGTTCATTCGACTGACTGCCGCCTGGTGCGACGCCAGAATATTCCGGAGAGCGAAGGGGCGTGGCTGCGTTCGTAGTAGGGATCGGTTGGATCCTTCGGCGCTCGCTTGACAGCGTAGTACGTCGCAGCTTGCCTCGTCGCGTTGCCCGATTCGAGGAAGCCCGCGTCGGGGCTCGCCAGGGTCACCGGCGCATGCCTCGAGATGGCGAGGACGACCGCTGGGTCGACGGGGATCTTCAACCGCTTCTCGCGCCTAACATCAGCAGATCTCGGTCCGTCCCGCGTCCGTCTCGGAAGGGCCACGTCGACCGAGGGCGCCAGCAGAGCTGAGCCGCGACGCGGTGCGGGGCAAGGCCGCCCTCGTTGGCGGCAAAGGCCGGCAAGAAGGCCTCTTCCGGACTGCTGGGCGTGAAGAGGATCTCGTCGAGGTGGACAGAGGCGCCCAGCGTCGAGTTAGCGCTGCCTGGCTCCGACGAGGGCGGAGGCGTCGTGCCGCACGGCGTCCGTGCCCTCGGCGGCAACCAGAGCTGGCAGGCGCCGTGCGACACCACGCGGGCGACGAAGTCCTGCCAGCGGCGGGCATAGGCGAGGACGGTCCCGATCTGGTAGAAGCTGGTGCACTTCCCTCGTGGTAGCTTCCCTCGTGGTAGTGCATCAGGCAGGCGCCAGGCTCGACCAGCTCCCGGTAGAAGGGGTGGTGCTGCGCCTTGGCGGTGGACACGGGGGTTGTCGGCGGCGGTAGAAGGGGCGGTGCTGCGCCTTGGCGGTGGACACGGGGGTTGTCGGCGGCGCAGAGGGGCCTGCGCCCGTGACGCGCCACGCGCCACACGGGCGGATGTAACCCGAGGCATCTATGTGGCGCCGGGAAGCGCCTCGGCTCGCGCGCGCAGTCACGCCGGCCGAGGGAGTGGCGCAAGCGGCGGACGCGCGCCTCCATGCCGGGACGCACCCAGAGCATGTTTGACGCCTGGAGCACGATATAGCGCGCCGCCGGCCACTGCACCGCCGCCGCGATGGCGTTGAGCGCGTGCGCGTAGAGGATGCTGCCTGTGCGGGGCAGATCGCGGCTAGGACGATGCGAGGGTTGGCTACGAGAGCGGGGCCGCCACCTCTTCCCCAGGCGACTGGTATGCGGTGCTGGTTGACGTGGACGCGCCGGTCCTTCGTCCAGCCCGCGATGTCGCCCGCCGAGTAGAGGGCCAGGGCGTTCAGGTGGATGACGACACGTGTGCCATCCTAGGCGCCGTGGGATGAAGCCATTTTTGCGAGCTCTCATAGATTGCCAGTGATCGTTTCTGGTCTGAGAGTGCGGTCTTTCGGCTCTCTCCTATCCTCTCCTCGGCGTAGAGGAAGAGGTTTGTCAGCAGAGAGTCGACCCACGCCGGCGACTCGTAGACCGCCAGCGACACGACGACAACCGCGGTAGAGCGGGCGTGCACCTCCACCGGGGGCATGGGGGGCACGCGCGGTAGCGTGGAGAGCATGAGGAGGTGAGGGACGCACGTTGTCGGTACGCGAGAGGGATGGATGACCCCCGTACGAGAGCGAGCAAATTCTTTTCCTGCCGACCCCAGGGTTCCGGCTCCTTCAGGGGGTCTGTTGACCCCGGTTAGACCCTATGCAATAGGTAGGTAGGTCCGGTTTTGACCGCCCCAGAGGGCCCCGCAATAGGTAGGTACCCCCTATTTTCGTCTTTTTTCGCTTCGCTGCGCGCGGCCTGGGGGGTAGATAGGTAGATAGGTAGGGCGTTTTGGTGCGAGTCAGGGTGCACAGAGCCCTATCTGGGTACTAGCTGGCGAGGCACTCCCACGCCTCACGGGGTCCCCCCTTGCCCGGGGGGGCGAGGGAACCCGAGAGGCGAGCCTCGCCTCCGCAGAGCCGAATGGAGACGCTGCGCCGGCAGTGACGAGAGTGAGGCCAGCCGCGAGTGACGTGCTTAGGAGTGCGACACGGCACGACGAGGAGAGGTCGTTGAGCAAGCTGCACAGCCGATCACGCCGCGCTGCCTTAATGCTGCCGTTGATGACGACAACGGCATGTGTCCCATACTTATGCCGCAGCCACGCGCGGAGCAGCTCAAGAGGGGCCTGCTCGAACGACGCGACGACAGCTCGCTCGTTCATCTCTAGGATACCCTCGAGTAGCCTCGCCGCAACCTGTAGCTTGCCGGACAGCAAGAGGCGATTGCCTGGCGCGCGTGGCCAGATTTTGACCTCCATCGCGAGCGACGGTCTGGCCTCCGCCTTTGAGCGCAGAGACTGCAGCTCGCTGCAACCCGTCCGCAGCAGGAGGAGCCGCTTAAATCCGTTGCTGCTGACGCTGTCGGCAGCGAGCTCCCGAGCGCAAATCTTTAAGTACAGCGCGCTCTGCGGCGCCGATAGGCCGTGCACAATGATGAACGTCTTGCTGGGCGGCAGTCCCCGCCGCAATTCACGGTTCGTTCGCCGCAGCTGCAGCTTGCCGCACGATCCGCCGCCACCTGCGGTGGCTACCCCGAAGAGGCCGTGAAGAATGTCCCACGCCGCCGCCGCTGCCGCCGTCCCTTGGCCTACCTCGATGGGCCGAGCCACGAACGTCTCGAACGCGGAGCGGTCGATGAGATTGGGACAAATTTGAGCGAGGACGCCGAAGAGCTCCCAGATGTTGTTTGAGAAGGGCGTCGCGGTGATGCACAAACGACGAGCCGCAGAGATTCCATAGACGGCGCACGAGACCTCCGACTCCGTGTTCTTGAGCTTGTGCGCCTCGTCCATCAGCAGTAGATCGACGCGCGACGAGGCAAAGCGGCGGGCGTTCTGCCGCACCTGCTCGTATCCGATGATCACAATGAGATGGGCTGGTGCGGCAGTAGCGAGGAGCTGCTGAAGCGCCGTGGCCGTGTGCACGCCGCCGGTGCCGGCGGTGACGACGTTCAAGCCGCCACCAGGAACCCACTTCGCGAACTCGTTGCTCCACACCATCACCAGGTTCGCCGGCGCGCACACAATCACCCTCGACGCGAGGCCCCGAGTGACCAGCGTCGCCACGACTGTGATAGCCTGCAGCGTCTTCCCGAGTCCGGTGTCGTCGCCCAGGAGGCCACCGTAGCAGCCAGAGAGGTGCGCGCCAGTGACCGCGCCGAAGAGCCAGCGCACGCCGTCCTGCTGATAGGGGTAAAGTCGCGCACCCAATGCGAATGGAACGAGATGACGAGTACCGTCCGCATCGGCCAGCTCGAGCGGCGCCCCTGCGCCGCGGTCCGTCGACTGGGTGTCCGCCCCCGTCTCGGACGCCTCGCAGGCCGCCTCACCGCTCATGTGGTGACAGAATCCGCCGAATCATCGACGCTGGCACAGCTCAAACGGCGCGGCCTCAGCGAGTGGGCCAGGTGGCGCCGGACTTTTTGCCACCACCTCCACGAGTCCGTCCAGTGCACCCACTGGCCAGATGCCGAGCCTCGGAGGCTCAATCGAGCGCCGAGTCAGGCCGACCTGGCACTGCTGAGGCAGGTCACGCCTGCTGGGACGAGCCCCGCGAGACTGCGTCAGCTGTTTTCACAGCAGGCTGGAAGTACCTCGCCAGGGTACTAGGAATCCTAACAGGAGCCGGAACCCTGTGTGTCGGCTCCGCGAGCCAAGAATCGTGTGCAGCGTGTGTTGTGTGTGCGTGTGGGCCCGTCCTCGGTGCTACGAGGTGTGTAAGACTGACTGACTGACTGCCGACATACAGTTGTACTACGGAGTGGGCTGCGGTCGAGCTGTGGACAGATTCGCCGTCGCCGCGATGCCGCTCTGGGCCGTGGACGACTCGCTCGCCGCGCAGCTCACCCGCAACGCACGGCAGATCGTGCAGCTCCTCAAGGACATCCAGGTCGACATCGTCCGGCACGTGCGGACGGCGCTCTCGCTCAAGATCACGGTGGTCGGCGTGAGCGTCGACGGTCTGATGGCGCTGCTCGGCGCCACAGTGATCGTGGTGGTGCTCTGCCGCTGGCAAGGCACCAGCCGGATGCTCCGGTGGCCGATCCTCCTCCTCATCCTCACCAACATCGTCGCGGATCTGGTCGGCTACCTGGCTGTCCGCTGCACGATCAAGCTGGTCGAGTGGCTGCTCGCGAGGGCAACCTCGTGGGAGGCACAGGTCCCGCTCGAGCCTGGCGAGGGGTACGCGGAGTGGCTGGCAAAGGCGGAGGCGCTCGACGCCAGCGACGGGCGAGCGGCGTGGCGCGCGAGGCTGGAGTCGGAGCTGTACGACTGGAGGCACGCGCAGGCGACGGCGCAGCGGCTGAGGCAGGCGAGGGAGGAGGGCGACGCGGCGGCGCTGATGCGGCTGCTGCTGCCGTGCCTCAAGCCAAACGTGGCGGGCGTGCAGGAGTACGAGCTCTACTGCCGCGCGCGCGCCGGCACCAAGCACGCCATCTCTGCGCTGATCGAGGAGGTCAGCACGTCGCTGCGCTGGACCGCCTCTCTAGATGCGGACACAGAGCTCCCCGTCGCTCCCCGTAGCTCAGCAGGTCGCCGCGTCGGATCGCCCGGCCCTTGGCACGGAAGGACGGACCCTTGTGCACCGCCTAGCACTCGAGACGACAGAGGGCGTGTGCTGGTACTCAAGACACAGCCGCCCTCTCTCACTCGTCGTTGGGTGCAGCACGTGTATGCCCTCTCCGCCTAGGATCGCCGACACGCGCCCCACCTCTCCCGACACGGCCGCCTTCCTGCGAACCGCGCACGTCGCCTTTGGCAACGAGGCGCTCGTGCTGTCTGGCGGAGCAACGCTCGGCATCTACCACTACGGAGTTCTCAAGGCGCTACTCAGCGAGGGACTGCTACCCGCCGTGATCAGCGGCACGTCGGCCGGCGCGGTGGTGGCGGCGATGGCGTGCTGCCGCACCGACGACGAGCTGCAGCGGGTGCCAGCGATGGCCCGAGATGGCGCGAGATGGCGCGAGATGACGCGAGATGACGCGAGATGGCGCGAGATGACCCCGAGATGGCGCGAGATGACGCGAGATGGCGCGAGATGACGCGAGATGGCGCGAGATCAGGTGCTCGAGGACGAGAGCGACCTCTTCCGAGAGATGGGCTCGGAAGGCCCCTTCGCCGACAGCGAGGGGCGGGCAGACACGGTGGGCCGGCAGCTGTGGCGGCTGCTGCGGCACGGGCGGATGTACGACGCCGAGCAGTTCCGGTGCGGCCTCGCCTGGTTCACTCGCGGCTTCACCTTCCGCGAGGCGCCGCCCCGAGCTCACACCCGAGATCACTTGAGATGCCACGAGAGGCCCCGAGATGGCCCCGAGATGGCCCCGAGATGGCCCCGAGATGGCCACGAGATGGCCCCGAGATGGCCCCGAGATGGCCCCGAGATGGCCCCGAGATGGCCCCGAGATGGCCCCGAGATGGCCCGAGAGGTGGCACCTCGGGCGCACAAGCCCTCTGGACGTGCAGCAAGACTCTCGAGAGCTGCGAGCAGGCGTACGGGCACTCTGGCCGCACGCTCAACATCACTTGCACGCCGCTCAAGTCGCGAGGGAACGGCGCGCCGCCGCTGATGCTCAACCACATCGACACGCCCCACATCGACATCGCGTCCGCCGTCACCGCCTCGGCGTGCGTCCCTGGGCTGATCGAGCCGGTCGTGCTGCTGGAGCGGGGCCCCGACGGCGCGCTGCGCCCCTTGGACCACCTCGACGCGAGATTGTCCGAGATCGTCTGCTGAGGTTGCAATCTCGCGTAGGCGCCCTCCGCCCCTTCCACCACCTCGACGCCAGCGACGACCGCATCACGCTGCGAGACGGCTCCCCTCGAGGCGGACGTGCCGCTCAAGCAGTTCACCCGAGATCACTCGAGATGTCCCGAGGTTAGGCTCCTTCGAGTCGGACGTGCCGCTCAAGCAGCTGCTCGGCGCCTTCGGCTGCTGCTTCACGATCGTCTCGCAGGTCAACCCGCACATCGCCTGCTTCTACGCCCACCCGTGCGGCAGGTTTGGCGGACCGCGGGCGGGGAGCGGGTGATCTCGGCTGATCTCGGCTCATCTCGGCTCATCTCGCAGGCCTGGCCGGCCGTCGGCGGGGCGCGACCGCACCGGCGCGTGGAGGGGGGGCTTCCTGCTGAGCGCGATCGAGGTTGCGATCAAGGAGGACTTGCGGCGCCACTTGCGGACGATTCAGCGGCTGCGGCTGATGAGCGACCTGACCGGTTTCGACTTGACTCAGATGTGGCTTCAGGAGCAGGACGGCTCGGTGACGCTCAGCCCCGCCGTACAGCTGGGCGACCGAGATGGCGCGAGATTGCCCGAGATTGCCCGAGATGACCCGAGACGCCCCGAGATTAGGTGACGCTCACTCCCGCCATCCAGCTCGGCGACCTCACCGCCCTCATCTCCAACCTGGAGGAGCCGGCGCAGCTCTCACGACGCATCCCCGCGAGACGGAGCGCGCGACCGCCCGTGAAGTGGACCGGCAACCGGTCCTGACTCTCAATGAACAGGCATCCGCGAGATGGAGCGCGCGACGTTCGAGGCGTCCGCGCTGCTCCGCACGCGCTTCGACGTCCGCGCAGCGCTGGACGAGTGCATCGCTGCCGCCGGCTTGCGCGCTGCGGCCTCCGACCGCTGGCTGCACGACGCGCGGTCGGCCCACACGCCCCCCTCCTCCCAGCAGCGGCGCGAGCGACTTGGTGGCGGGGAGGAGGAGCCGGAGGCACGCGCCCGGCCGCCCGCCGCGGACGACGGGTCGGCGCTGGCGGCTGGGCTTGGGGGAGGTCCGCATCGCCGCCGCGCCGCCCGCTCGCCCACACCGCGGCGCGGCCGCCTTGACGCTTGAGAGTTGAGAGGGGAACTGAGAGTCGCGGTGTAACAACAACACATGTGCATGCACATGCACATGTGCATGCACATGCACATGTAAGAGCCACATGGTCATGTGGTTATGGACTAGTTGCAAAAAGTCTGTGGTGCAAAAAGAAGCAAAAACTACCAAAAACGCTGTCACGGCCAGCTCGGCACTATCTACGAAAAAAGTGACGTAGAGCACCCACTTTTTAAGCGTTCCGCGCACACACAAGGTCCGCCTGCGTGCGCCGCCAGCTTCCCAGGGCCATCGCGCGAAAAACGACGGAGGAGATGCATCCTAGCTGTCGCCACCGAAGGCGACTCGACGCCGCTGAGATCGGAGATCAAGCTCTGACAGGTCACACGTCGCTCCTTTGACGCCGACGTGACTCACCCGTACAGAGCGCATCAGGACACAGTCTCGACACGCTCGGTACGACACCTGCGACCCGTCTCGGGTCAGGTGGCACGACACTCATCGCACCTACCAGCGCTGCCGTGCAGGTTGCCACGACGAGGTCGAGCACGCTTCTATACGCTCGCCCAGCCTTCCTTTCCATCCCATTAGGCAGCCTGGGAACGGTGGCGGTCAGAGGCAAAGCCTGCGAGGGGTGGTGGAACCACATGTCACGGCCACCGCCGGCTCGACGCGACGATAGCCTCCGGAGGCTGACTTTGAGGCACCATCATCGGACGATGTCGACGAGTTGGGTCGCTCTCGCGGTATCCAGGTAGCCCCCCATACTAGTAGCACCAGCCATGGCGCCTCAGGGAGCGCGGGCGAGGGCGCTGGGAGCAACACGGACAAAAAAACATCAAAAGTGGTCATTATCACACCACCCGTATTTGCAACTAGTCCATGTAGTAAGCGTGGGAGGAATGGGAGGACGGCACGCCACTCTTGTAGCATGCAGGTTGCAGTCTGCATGGATTAGCCTCTGCATAGAAGGGCTGATTCTATATTCCGTATTTCTCTGAATATGCAGAATGCAGATGCAGAATGCAGAACCCAGCCCAAAATGTTTAGTGTCTGCCGTATGAGGCGGTATGTGCAGGAGTGCAGCAGGATGCAGGACCCCAGGATGCAGAAACCAGAATCGGACCCAAAATTGATTCTTCTGCATGGATTGGTGCAGGATGCAGGATGCAGAATGCAGGATGCAAAATCAGACCCAAAGAGCTTGTCCGTCGGGTGCAGCTGACAGTGCATCCGCATCCTGCATTCTGCATCGGGTGCTCGGTCTAGGGGTGGGAGAAGCCAAGGACATGGTCCCCACCTGCACGAGCAGGATCTTGTAAGGACGATCAGGGACACAGGGGAACGGGAGCGGGGAGCGCATCGCGACCATTGTGCTGCGCGGCGTTGCGGTTTCTTGCCTTGTAAAATTCTTTTGAGCGCTCCCGGCAGGGTTCCAACTTTTTGCGGGGTATGGTATGGTAGCATCGCGGCCCAAAGGGTGGGGGAGGGTATGGTCCTGACCGCCCAAGACTAGCCCTCGACAGGGGTGGGGGGTATGGTCCCTCGGCCTCTACTGCCGCCGCCGAGCCCGCAGCGCCATGAGGTAGGAGCACGCGCCCGTGTCGCGGAGCTGCTGCAGCTGCTCCACACTCCTAACACACTCCCCTCGCCGACACCCTTCTGGTTGCGGAGCGCCTCAATGTCGCGCGAATCAACATAGCCGTCGCTCAGAATGCTCGGCAAGATCTCGAACGCCAGCCGTCCAAGTTGGTTGACCTTTGTGTTGCGATGTACTAAAAGTCCCCCGAGAGGTTGCGCCGCTGGCGCAGCCGGCCAACCCGCTCGAGGCGACCACCGGAGAGGCGACCACCGGAGCGGGGGCACCCACCGGAGGGGCACCCGCCGGCACGGCGATGCCAATGGAGGACCTCGCCGGTGCGGTGGCCCGCGGGGCGGCCGGCGCGGCGGCCATCGGAGCCGCCCGCACGGGGACGGCCGGCGCGGCGCCTGCTGGTGCAGGTGCGGCGACCGGCGCGGGTGCCGCGCCCGCCGCTCGCCCAGGCGATTGCCAACTTCGCCGCCGCGCTCTTCTAGACGAAGACGGCGGCCATCCGCGCGTATCTAGTGTGCGTGTCGGTGTCTGCAGCCTCCTGGAGCCTCCTACCTAGCAGTAAGGCGGCCGGCGGTGGGGCGAGGGGGGGGGGGGGGGGTATGGTCCCCTCAGTGGGAGGCTGGGTCTGTCAACAGGCGGGGGGGTATGGTCTCCAGGTGGGTTGGCGAGATACCCCATACCATACCAAAAAGTCCGAACCCAGCGGCCGAAGAGGTCGGGTGCCTTTATATCCAAGATGCTTTCGGTTCTCCTCCCTCTGCCCCACGCCTACGTGCCGCTCGTCACCTTTGACGGTGCAGCCTCCACCACGCACAAATTCACAACAGAGTCGGATCCGGTGATGGGTGGCCGCTCGACGTCCTCGTGGCATCTCACCAAGGACGCCGCTGGCACACCGATCGGCCGCTTCTCCGGTGTCTGCCGCATCGTGCCCTCCCTCCGGGCCCCGGGCTTTGTTTTTGCACTGACCGGCTCGCCGCTGCTCTCCTCGTTTCCCGACGCCTCGGCCGAGGATGGGCTACTCCTGAAGCTGAAGAACGCCGCCGGCAACGTCACAGACGGCTACAAGTTCGCCTTCTGCGACAGCCGGATCAACCCATATCGCTGCCAGTTTGGAACCTTCAAGGCGGACCTCAAGCTCGCGCCGGCCTCCGCGGCGGCGGCGCCGCAGACGCTCTTCGTGCCGTGGAGCCGCTTCAGCGACAAGTGGTCGCCAGCCACAGGTCTGCGGGAGAGGCCTGGGCCGGGTGTCGGGGGCGGGGCGGGGGCCCGCGTCTCGACGCCTCCCCACACCCGCCGCCGCCCAAGTTAGGCGAGCACACCGCCGAGCAGCCTCCGAAGCCGTCGAGCCTCGCCTCAATCACGCAGCTGCAGGTCTGGGTGGAGGGCGTCGCGGGTGCACTACCTGCCTGCGCGGCGTTCTATCCGTGCAGTCGTGGAGAGCGCGTGGGCGCACTGTGAGTAGGCGAGTTCGCGCTCGACGTGTACGAGGTTGGCGCCGGAAAGGCGTCCGATCTGGACGGTGCGCCGCCGGCCGTGTCGCAGACTGCGGCTGCACTCGCTGCGTGACATGTGTGTAAATAAATAAAACGGGCACGCCAAACGAGGGGTGGGAGAAGGACAGGGTCCCCACCTGCACGAGCAGGATCTTGTAAGGACGATCAGGGACACAGGGGAACGGGAGCGGGGAGCGCATCGCGACACGGAGGGGGGCTGGGCAGGGTTCACCCACACGTGACACGACAGGGTCCCCCAGGGATTCCTCTCTCGTATAGGACAGGTTGCACCCGGCGGCACGGGGGCAGGCGCGGGCCTCCTACTGGTTGCGCTCTCCTAGTTCTCCTGCTACTGACCGGCGAGCCTGGCGGTCCCCGCTGTACTACAAGGATGTGCTGACTCGATTCTACCTCGAATTCTTCTACCCCCACGACTCGGAACACGAATGTGTGACAGGACCATCGGGTCCTTCGGCCACCAAAGCGGGATCACCCGAGAGCAGCTGAGCCTGCCTCTGGCCTCGCCTCCCTCTCCTTCAGGCATTCGTGGCATCCTATGGGTCGTCCAGAGTATCGACCTCTGGCTTGTCAGCCGCCCCACCGAGGGCACCATGAAGTACAGCGATCGCCACCTCGCTGGCCTCTCCGCAGGCCCCCCCGACCGCGTCGAACTCATCGGCGCGGGCTCTCTCGGCTACGGGACCGGCCCCAGCTTCGGCTGAGGGCTGACAAGCTGCCGAGCCCAAAATCACTGTGAGAGTCGTGATTTCTTGTTGGTTAATAAAAATCTCTCTCTCTCTGACAAAAGGGACAGTGACAGGTTCGCAGCACGGTGGACTCCCTATTCCACTGGCAATCTCTCTCGACTAGCGACCTTCCTCCGGCTTCTCACATGCGTAAATAAATAAATAAACAAAGAGCTGGACAAATACCAAATTCCAAATCGCAAACATATAAACCCAAACACAGGCGGCGACGTGGCATACGAGCTCATAGGAGAAGGAGGCGGGCACAAGTTCCAAGGACGCACGAGCGAGCGAGACAGCAGCCATGACGATGATGATTCAGCGCGTGAACGCCAACTCGCCGGCACAGGCCGTGAAGAGCCGCGCACGCGGGCCGACGATTACGCAGCTGCGTGCCAAGCAGGCCGCTCTTGTGGCCGCATCCAAGCTCGCGGCTTCGAGTAACGCCGAGGCGAGTGTGGTAAGGCACTCGCCCGTCGACGAAGCCAAGCGGTGGGCAAGCGGCAAAGGCCGCAAAGTGGGCTTCGCAAAAGCACGTGCCACCTTCCGTGGCGGCGGCACGGGAATCGCGGCGACGGCGGCGAAGCACGACTCGCTCATAATAAAAACGGTCAAACTCTGAGACGAGGGAAATAAACAAAGTGCAGTAGAAAATAATAAATAAAACGGACACACCAAACAAGGGATGGGAGAAGGACAGGGTCCCCACCTGCACGAGCAGGATCTTGGAAGGACGATCAGGGACACAGGGGAGGAACGGGAGCGAATAAAACGGGCACGCACATGCGTACAAAAAAATACAAAATAGCGCAGTCATCTCCAGGGAGAGATGGGCGACGCACACGAACACAGAGGGACAGTGCGCACCCCGCCCCGCTCGCAGGGCGTGCATCACACAGGTGGACTGTGTGACCGACATGCGTTCCTAAGCCCCGATATTCTATTTAGAGCAGCAAGAAGCCACAGGCGCGAGCTTGGCCACACACCTCCACCCGAGCGCCGCGCCACGCGCCGGCACTGCCAGCATCTCCCCCCGGCGCCGCTTCGCCTCCACCGCTTCTGCTCGTGGAACAGGTATCAGAAGGAGCATGGCTTTCGGCATCATGAACACCCGGCGGTACGCGCTGGTGTACAGCACGCTGGGCGCGCTCTTCCTCAACTGCTGCTCGCTGTACTGGACGATGTGGTCCGTCCTCACCATGTCGCTCTTCATGCTCACCATCACAGACTTTATGTTTTTCGAGGCGCGGGCACCTCTGCCGCCTCTGCCGCCTCCCTCCGCACCGCGCCGCCCTACATCCCCCCCCCTTCGCGCCTGCCCCCCGCCACGACCGCCGCGACGCCCCGGTGGCCCGAAACCGCCTTCACTGACCTCGACGACGGCTGGCTCACCGACCCCTTCTCACTCGCAGGACTCTGAGTTTTGGTGAGGGCAGCTGCGGCGGCGCCCGCCGCCTCGCCGCGCCGAGGGGCAGCGCGCTCCTCTGTACGTACGGTCGCGGGAAGGGGGTTAGGGGGCTAGGCGGGCATTGCGATCGGTCCCACCGTGTCGGCCGATTGTGTCACTGCGAGCACATGCGGGGCGGCCGCTGTGTTCGGCGGAGTCGCACTCGCTCGCCCAGCCCGGCGCAGCGGTCTCTGCTCTCTCGAGTCTCGTCTCTCATTCCGTCTCGCTCATCGCGCTTCTTGTGGTTGGTTTGGTCTGTTGTAAATGTAAAACGGCGCAGCATCACACACAGTCCCGCGCCGCCGACCCAAGTGCTTCATACACAGGAGAGGGCGCATCGGGTGCCGGGGAGGCCCGTGTCAGGCGATCCCGATATCGTCGGCAGGCTCTGGTCTAATCTCTTCACGCGGCGATGTCCGTGTACGTCTTGAGCGCGGCGAGAACGTCCGCAAACTCCTGCGGCGTGGGGTCGGGGCGGCTTGGTGAGGTGGCCACGAACGGGGGGGGCAGGAGGTGCCTTCGGGGGGAAGGGGGGGGGGGGAGGGGGAGGGGGGGGACCCGAGCCTTGTTTGCCAGGGCGGGCTCCTTCTTCTTGCACGCGAGGTCGAAGGCCTCGATCTCGGACCAGTACTTCTTGTACGCCTTCGTCGCCGCCTCCTGCAGCCCGGGGGGCGGGGGGGGGGGGGGGGTGAACGGCGCCCAGACGACTTTCACCGTTCCCACGCAGCAGACCCCCTCCCCCCGTCCTTTTGAGCTGCACAGCTGCACAGCTGCTCCCCCCCCTCCGACAGCCCCCCCCCCCCCACCCTGTTCGCCGCGGGGCGTGCGGTGGGCGAGGGGGCGCGCGCCTTCTTCTCGCCCTCGAGCACGCCGTTCATCGCAAGCATCGACGAGCGCATAGTGTAGGCCTGGGGAAGCGACGGGCGGTCGCGGCTCAAGTGGCTGCGTGTTTGCCGGGACCAATCCGGACGGCCGCGGAAGGGAGTTATCGCGGTTTGGAAGCGACGCAGCCGGGCGGCGGGCGCTTACGGAGACGCCGCCAAGGAAGGGGCGGTGCCGGCGGCGGTGGGAGCGGACGAACGAGGAGCGAGACTCAAGGGTTTGGTGGCGGCGGCGGCGGCCGGCAGCAGGGGGACGGGGCAGCCACACTCGAGTTTGGCGGGCGGCGCGCGCGCCTGGATGCGGAGCTCGTCGCGGAGGAACCACCACGTCTTCGAGTCAATCTTGGGCTGCAGCGACGAGATGCGCGACGACGACTCCAAGAAGGACTTCTTCTCGCGAGAGACGTCCTGCGGCGGCGGCGGCGGCGGCGGCGGTGGAGCGGCGGTTTGCGGGGGAGGGAGCAGCGGCGAAGGTGGCGGCGGCGAGGGGGGGCGATGAGGGCTGGCGGCGGCCGGGGAACGCGGAGTGGAGGTGAGTTGGCGATGCGGCGCCCGAGGGCGGCGGCAGCGAGGGCGGCGGCGGACCTTTTGGTAGCCCTTTGCCAGGAACTCGCCGTCCGACTTTTTGAAGCCGAAGGTTGCGTCGGGGCCCGACTGGGGGCCGCCGGGCTGGTATGGGCTCGAGATATCCGACATCCCAAAGATGCCAATCTTGCCAAACTCGCCCGACTTGGCCGACGCGCTAGAGACGGCAGTCGTCGCAGCGGCGAGCATGGCGGAGCCGGTGACGAGGGCGTCGCGGCGGCTGGAGTCGGCGCGCATCGTGCACGCGGCGCGGGGCGTCGTCACGACCGGGCGGCCGGACGAGAGCGCAGTGAGGGAAGTCGTCAGCGAGAGCATGGGCGAGGGCAACAGGAATTAGGTCGTGCGAGATGCGAGCACGTATTTTTCTTTTTTAGCACCTTAATATCTCCTTGCGAGACAGTTCTTCGCCTCCCTACTCGCGTACTTACTTTCTTGCCTGCATGCGCCCTTTCTGCACTGGCCGCCCTCACCCGAGAGCCCTCACGCGTTGGCCTGCACAAGCTTTTCCGGCAAACAAAAAGGAAAACAGAGGGTCCCCAGCACTTTGCGTTTCCGGAAATTTCCAGGGAAAACAGAGGGTGTTTGGTGCTCCATTCTGGAAACTCGCGAGTTTCCCTGAGTCTGAGAGCTGGTCTGGGGCAAAATCTGACGCAAAATTGAGGAAATCGGCACGATACCCAGGCGGTCGCAGGGTATTTTCCAGGTATACCCGGTGGCCCTTCTGTTGCTCTCCCAAAGCCCAAAGCCCAATATCCACCCCCCCCCCCCCCCTTCCCTGCCGCCGTGCCAGGACTTGCTGCACCTTGTGGCGGAACCAGGGGGCGACGCGTATCATACCGGTGAGGGAAGGGCTGCCGGCGTGATGCGGAAAGATCTGTGACGGCGGGCTGGTGCCGGTGATTCAGCAGTCGGCTCTAGCGACCGCAGGGTAGAGGACGCCGGAGGGACTCCATGCCTCTCGTCTAGCCTCTGTACTCTGGGATGATGATGACGCACTCGACTCGACTTGTGCTCCATCGGTTACGGTTCTTGCCCAGTTAAAGCCGTAGTTCTTCGGTCGGTCTCGGTGTGTTCGAGCTGCGTTCGAGGTGCGTCGAGATGTGTCGTTGCCGTGGAGACTACGTATCTCATTCTGTACGCGTGTCAGCCGTGTACACTTTTCACTCTACCAGTGTTGAAGCTAGAGCCCGCCGCCGCGCCCCATCTTCTCTCGAACTCTCCATCTGTACACTGACCACTGACCTCTTCTGCCGTGTCTGCGCGCACTCAATGGATGGGTAGTAGAGGGGGGGGTAGACAGAAGACGGGCTCAAACTTAGACGCTGGTGATCGGACTCACGAACTTAGACGTCACGAGGCGGCCAGTTCCGGAGCGTCTCTGCAGCACCCGCCCAGCAACAGCCCAGCCAGGCCGCCCAGTCCGGCCCGCGGTCTGCTAAAAAGTGTAAACCCTGGACCAGCGAAAGGACAACCGCGGGCCTCGGATGCTCGCCCGGACGCGGACCCACCGTGCGAGTTGCAGACCCGGAGGTGGCCGACCCAGCTCACCCCCAGAGAGGCCATGCCCAGGGTCAGGCATAAAAGGGGGGTGTTTTTCCGTCCGTCCAATGCCTTCAGTTTGCTGAAAAGCAAAGTAAGTTGATTAATTGTAGCCGCTGTGGGGCGACGGCACTCTCCTGTGCCTGTGGTGGGAAAAGAGATATGCGGTCTGTGACCAACTAGCTCTGAAGTCCTGAGTGGTTCGCCAACTCGCGCAACTGTGAAGTGGCCAGTCCGTGCACCGGCTGTGAAGCTGTCAGTGATCCAAGATGGACCCTTCTTCTTCCACAGAAAGCCCCGATTCACCTCTGCTGTCTTCGGGGAAGCGATCCGGTACGACAATGCTTGCTGGCATCCTCATAGTGATTGGCTCAGCACTCGCATTTTGATTTTGATCTTCAACCGAAACCGTCACCCCGGCCCCACTGCTGGCCCCAGCTTTTTGTGTGTAGTAGTGAGACTAGAGTGCACGCGTAGTAAAACACCACCGACGAACATCAGGGTATTTGGTACACCGCAGGGGGCGCAAACCGACAGGCGACACAATCATACGGTACCCCGCGTGCCACACGGTACAGCACAGACAGACGCTTCGCTAAAAGACTCGAGCCCCTCGAGAACGACACCGTACATATAACGCGGCGACCCGTCTTCAGGTTCAGCGTGGTCAGTGGAGGTGCATATGCAACAGAACCCCCCCCCCCTTGTTAGGGATGGGGCTTGTGTAAATGTTAGGTCCGCGCGCCGTTCCTGAGGCTGATCGAGAAATCAAGCGT